AAAAGTAGAACTATTTCAAATATCAAGAACAATCCGATTCTCGTCGTCATAAAGAATCAGAACCGAGATGTTCAATGGGCTTCTTAAAACCACAAAGAAAGAGGCCAATAAAGCCAAAAATAATTCGTCCACAGAACAATCTCATTATTTATCCGATCTAGCGTTTCAGTCTAAGTGGTGTGAAACCTGTGCGCAATGCGAATTACCTATGTAAATTTTATGAAAGCGAGCCTCTGCAAATGCAATAGACTATTTCCGGAACAGCTTCTTGTAATTATATGGAACTGTGATCGAACCACTTGTAACGCATTCATTAAGCGGTTTTCACTTGCCTAAATAATTGCTTTGCCATGTCTTCTCGTAGCCATCTTTAGTTAAGGTAAAATTTGGTACACATAACACACCTGCGTTGCAGATGAGTACATCCAGATGTGGCACTTCTGGAAAATAGACGATTAGAAAAGAATTGTTAATTAGTATTACAAATCGCGAATATGACTTACTTCCAACTGTAAAGATTTTGTAGAACCGATTTTAGATAGGGAACATCAATTTGAGACGGTGCTTTAACTACCAGGAATGTGGCAAGACTCATGTTTTTTTCAACATAATCAATCGTCAGTGCACTAACTATGTTAAGCGTGACATTAGGATTCGCGTTTATCCTAAAGAATACGAAAAGCTCTTCCAAATTGGAGAGCTCTTAAGAGCAATATTCACCGCATTAGGATAAGCCAATTAGCTGCAGAAGTTGGCTTGCTAGCAAAATAGCTTTCGTCGCTTTCGAAAATATTACGGTATTAAGAGTTAAGAGAATTGAAGGGAAACAACTGTGATTCTTCTATATCCGCCCTGTTCACCAAATGTGGCCTTGCTCAAAGGCTCATTCCAGCTCATGATACTTCTTAACGAAGGATGCCTTGTCAAAATTGATCATCACAAAACTGGAGCATTCTACTTTTGAAATGCTACTCCTACTAATAGGGGAAACAATGTGCAGTATTGAAAACACAAGGTTGTTGTGTTTACAATGGAAAAATACGACTGGGAAAAGCAACAAACTTTTTGGACAATATTCCCCTTTTGCTGTGTCGTATTGCATATGACACACTCAAGTTGATAGATGGTGGTGCTTTTTTATATGACTATCGTTTCACGATTATATCTTAGGGAGAGATGCTAGCATTTGAATCATTAATCAGGGAAACTAAATCGGATTTATTCTCT